GGGCAAGGATGCAGGCAGGAATAAAGGTACAGGCAGCGCTGGGGCTGTTGGAGGGGGGGTGGCTCTATAAAGGTACGGATCCGCATTACCTGTCCCCCCTGGCAGCCAGAAAAATGACAAAACGCGCTTTCTGCTTGGTTTGGTGAGCAGAGGGCATCTCCAAAGCACATTGTGCCTGCCCAGTCAGGCCCTTCCTGCACTGAAAGGTTTTTATGCTGAGCCCTGTGGCCCCTAGTCTGGAAAAGCAGGATGTTTGGGGTACAAGGCCCTTCTCCCAGCACTGTTGCAGCTGTGGCAGGGGCTCGCTGTGTGAGGAGGAGATGTCACTCTGCCCAGTGCTGCGGTGCCAATCTTGGTGCCTTCCCCTCCCTGCTCTGGGTGGGTTACTTGCACACTTCAGCCATGATGCTGCACTACTGCACCACTACAAGCTACCTCCTCCCTGGCCCCCATAGCCCCCACCTTGGTGCCCCACACCTCCTTGTGCCTACAGCTTCTCCCAGGGGTGCTGTGGTAACAACCACAGCCATGGGTTGTCACTGGGGCTCTGACTGTGCCTCTGCCTCCCACATCTTGGGACAATAAACACGTGTGGAGAACTGGAAGCTGTGTCCTTTTTCAGTGGTTTGGGGAAGGGCAGAGGCTGACTGAAGCAAAAGGGGGCCTAAGCAGGCAAGACTGGGACAAGCACTGTGGAAGGTGTGGCACAGAGTGCGACAAAGCCTGGAAGGTGGCCTGCTGTTGAGAAGCAGTCATGGAGACACCTCAGAGGTGTCTGAGGAAGGTGGCTGTGGGGCTACAGCTAAGGCCGTTTCTAGCGCAGGAAGGCTTAGGAGCACTGGAGGTGGTCCCAGTAACCTGGACAGGCTCAGCTCCTGCAAGTGGGCCTCTTGGCCTTGAAGCTTGGAGAGAAGCGTCCTGGCTGCAGCTAGGCTGTTAAAGGGAAGAGGAGGCTGGGGAAGGGCTGAACCAGGAGGAGCCAGCGGAGCTACCGAGAGCAATGCAGCCCACTGGGCTTCAGGTCAGGCTCTCGGGGGCTGCAGAGGACCCCAACACGGCCAGGGTGCTGTGGAGCAACTTCTCCTAAGGGCCGAGGGACAGGGATGGGCACAAGCAGGGCCAGGGGCTATACGAGGGGGCAGGCACCAGTACCCCGGTATGGCATGGGGAAAGGCCTCGGGGTCCCCTGGGCC